GTGTAGTAGAAAATGGATAGGATGATGGGAGGTGCACAGTAGGAGATAAACGGGATGATGAGATGGAGTAAGAGTTGAATTGGATGATAGAGTGGGGCAAATTAGGTGATGGACAAGATGATGGAGGCGTGGAGTAGGATATGGATGGAAAGATAAAGTGGATGTGGGATGGGAGATAGCTGGGATTAGGGGTGAAGTCAAAGCAGGCATGGTAGACATGGGATGACGGTGGGGTAGAATTGTAGAGGAGGGGATGATGGGTGCGGATGCAAAGTACAATAGTTTAGAGGAATTTAAATTTCGCAACATCCATCAAACTAGCAAATGCACTGCTTATCTAGGCGTCCAGGTGTAGTCTGATTGTACTGGATCCACATTCTTTAGGCATTCCTCTCTTCTGTAAAGAACTGTGAAGCCTTTGTACACCAATCTCCCTTGTTGGTGGTCTTTATTAATTTACTTTTAGGGATTTGATTGCATAATCTTTATGAAAGGGAAAGAAAATAGGACTTTTTGTTTGTCCTTTGCCATGGTCATCTGGACAGGCTGACCCTTCAAAGACAGAACTGAATTACCCTGATGACAAAATACTGCGTTCCAGAACAGGGTGGACTTCATTAGTATAACTTGGATGTCTTTCAACATAAGCTGTTATTACAGGAAAGAAATTCACAATTCATAAGAAGCAGCGAGCCATGGCGGCTTTGCTGTTCTAGTTTTATTACTGAGCAGTAATTCATCGAAGGACATGTAGTGCAAGGTATGCTAAAAAGTGAAAGTTCAAATTCCACTTTTTATTCTGTCACACCTTTATGAATGTTGAGTCTTCCAATTCAGTGTCGTGGTTGACATCTTTCAAATATGAGAGCCAATACATGTAGTCCTACAGCTTCTACAGTTAATGACAAATGTAATAAGACAAATTGGTACACCTGGAAATGAATATTGATTAATACCAGGCATGCTACCATACAACATCACTTAGTAATAAATGTGGCTGAAGATACATTAGTTGTGCAGTAGTTCTTGTAAGCAGTGAAAGAGTTTTCTTTGCATAAACTTAAGCTGCATGTATTACCAAGCATGCACATGTACATGTACATGTAGTTGTATTACTCAAAATTACCCTTTCATTCATACTTTCATTCCTGTAGATCAGGTTGTTTTGTTTGTCAGCCAAAATAGTCATTATAGTTTTGTGACAGGCTTTATCAGTATTGGCTCTGAAATTTAAATATTTCTTTTTGTTTCGTGAGCGGACGCCATCATGAATTGGATATATTTAGCCAATAGTTTTTCACCACCATATAAAGATATTTCATAAGTTTGTAGATTTTACTATTGTATTACAACCACAACAGATTACGTAGGTGGCCTTGTGATTGTGAATTCCTTGATTGCAGGCATACCATTTTATTATCCTCGCCCTTTTATAGATAAAATTTGATCAATTTGTTATTCTGAGCACTCAACCATCTTTTTCTGAGAAATAACAATGACATACAGTTTTACATTTCCAAGGGTTATCAGTTTAATCCTTTTATCAGATTAACAGCCCCTTTTGTTATCCAGATGAAATCTCTGTGGAAAAATTTTTGCGCGCTTATGGGAGAAAGAAGTTCAGATAGGCACATTTTGCCTGGGTAAGTTGTCAAAACAGTGAAAATTCATTATCAGCTAAAAAGGTTGATATAGGACACAGTTGTCAAATCATAGGCTTATGTCAACCAGACTAACTATCCCTTTGTCATGGAGTCAGGACATGTATGTCCCATCCTCTTTAATTCTTGACACAACAGTTATTCTTCACCCATGAAATTTTACTGTCTGGTACAATATACATGTACATGTATGTCGGGTAACCATTGTTTTCATTATTTTATTTTGCAGTTTGCTTTGGGTTTTTGCTTTTGCAGCATACATGTATGTGCATCGTCATCATACATGTAGGGACAATTAGAATTGGTGCATGTGTAGGATACACATGTGGCTAGGAAAAAACTGGGTGGTTATATCACCAATTTGTGCAGCTACATGTACATATAGGTCACTCTATAAATTTGGGGCCCAAAAGGTGACATTTTTCCGTCCCTGTTACCTCTAACATGTATACCATTTTACAAGTTTAACAAGGGATGTATCACTGAACTTGATTTCAATCTATTTATCTATTTGGCAGGTGATTTGCAGTATTTATTCAGTCTTTAAAAGTAAACAGTGAGTTCTAAACATTAAAATCAAATGCCAGACGTAACAGGGACTGGAAAACATGGACCCGAAATTTATAGAATGACCCACATGCTTCAAGAACTTACATGTACATGTGTGTATTCAAGCATATTGATGTGAAATACACACAACTTACAGTGTGCAGGATAAGCTCACCTCACAAAGTTGTCATTTAACCAACCAGGTTTTCTGAGCTGTATGTGTTTCCTGTACACACATACCATTTCAAATGGTCCCTGTTGCTTTGTACTGTACATCCACTTGCATTAACTGGTATGCTCATGTCAAGTACTCATACGAATGTAAGATTACAAACTGGGTTTGGGACAATTTTTTAATTTGCAGATGACCAATCCAGGATCTCTAATAAAATACACTGATACTGAAAAGGCAGAAGGTAGTAGCGACACCTATCTGCTGCCATCATGCTCGTAAGTTTTTCTTTGTGAGGTGTCCCACATGTGCATGTGTATGTCTGCAAAATGTTCACTTCAACGGTCCTTTACCAGATACTTTTTTACATACCTGTGTCCAACTACCTGTGGGACAGGGACAGATTTCTGGAACACACATCAAGTTTGACACGTTGATATTTGTCAATTAATGTGGAAAAAATACATGTAATCTGTCATTCCTGCGGGTACTACGCAATACAATATTAACTTGTTTCCTGTTAGTGCTGTACAAGTGTAGCTTGATGTTCACCAGATTCACTGCGCTCAGCCTACCCAGTCACTATACATGTACATGTATATATGCAAATTTTCCTAAATGTCTTTTGCCATTCGTTAAAAACTTGATCCACTGTACTTGCCCTCTGTTACCACAGTGCATTCTGGCACCGCCGCCATGTTCGTCCTTTTTCTTAGTGCCATTGCTAGCGGATGTGTTAGTTTGGGCATCTTCAAGTTTTTTGAGCTTCCATTCTCACTCCACATTCCTGTGGTACATGTATTTCTATCAACTGTAAAGTATGAATAATAAACTACATTGTAGTTTCCAGATATAAACATACTATTCCCAACTGTGTTTCACATATTGGTCCTTTTGTGTGGTATTTTTCTCTCTTTATTTGTATGTGCATGCTCATAGGTTACCGACATTGATCTACGTAGCATGTGCCACCTAGCAATATTATGTAGGGTCAACTGGGCAACCTGGGATTGGCCTTGATGCATTCAGCATTCTCCACTTTCCCCACAGACTGACTGGAGTCGGTTCGCGGTCATGATCGAGGTGTTAAGGTCCAAAGCCGAGACTCCTGATTACCGTGGTAACAGTCCACTCCTCAGCACACAGACTGATTTAAACCAAGGTTAGCCAAGGACACACAGGGGACTGAGCTGTAGTGTGTGTGATCCGAATCCACAGCTCCCCTATTGTAGCTACCATGGTAACAAGGTCTGTTGTGGCGGTCCACCTTCCACCAACGCCTACCAAAGAATACAACACTCTACTGGCACGGCTCATAAAGCTCATGGAGGGATGGCCTCACACCAGCCACACTGATCGCCTCATGCCATGAGCCTCCACCTTCAGACACTCTTTCAAGTTTCAATGGGTGTATCAATATGTGAATCTGACACTACACCTTCCTGGGCACTCCCCCGTTGTCTTCCGGGGGTGGCCCCAGTGAATACAATGCTTGGCCATGCAGGCACAACGCAGACTGCAACATGGACAACAGGACCCACCAGCCTGCTATGCATTAACCCTCCAACGTCCGTGGCTTCTCCACAAGGGCCCCTTGGCGGGAAACAGAGAATAGCGTTACCCGGCCGACTCCGCATCACTTTCTGGGGCTGTCCCAGTGAGTGCACCATTAAACTACGGACTACCATGCCCTTACAGTAGTCCACCGAGATGCAGGGTCACCGACTAAGCTGATGTTGCCTCCCCCCCCCCCGTGCCATGCTGTGTGCAACATGCAGGGAGGGGATGAAGCCTACCATTTTATAGAAGGTTCTGGCAAGTCTGCATGTTGGCCAGATGGGTCCTTGCACCTGTTTTTTATTATTCTTGGACTTCTGGGTGCCCCTCCACCCAATCATATTCTTCACCTAATGCCAATCCCTCCCTCAAGATCCAATGGCCAGGCATTGAAAAAAAAAAGAAAGGACATTCACTTGTTCCTAAAGAAGTTCTGCAATGGGACATCCTTAACATTCCACTCTGTGGCAACCCCTGATTCATCTACAAGGAATCTTCACCCGAATGACGGCTGTCCGTCATTGGAATATTTTGACGGCTAACTGGCCGTAGCCGGTTCCCCAGATAAGACTGCAGTTGACACTAGCATTGCTTACTAGATTGCCATCTGCAGTTCTACATCACTCAGGAATTTTCAGATCTGCCCCTACTCATGCCTTTATTGATCTGGGTGTGGTCCCCGACCCCCCTCGGGCTCCAGCACACAAACACATCCCCTCTTCGGCCTGATGATGGGTCTGGTGGACCCGGTTCTTCATTACCATTTTCATATTGGTACCCCGCTAGCCCACATACTGGTGTTCTTTTGGCCCAAATTGTGACTTGATCGACCTCCATACTTTCATAATGGACCTTATCTGATCATGACTTAGCTGACAGCAGAAACAGAACCATCTGGTTTACGACCTCCCTCTCCCAAAGATGGATCCTTAGGTGACCACTGTCTACCAACCCATCCAGATTTACAGGAGATGCTTCCCCTCCCAACCTTCCAGGTCTCAGTGATTAGGGGAGTCTCTTCAACATCCGGAAATCCAGGTGACCTCCAGCATGATACGTCACTGCAGTACATCTGCTGGGGCAAATCTGTCCTGTTTGATCAGACATTGTCTCCATGGGCATCGGGCTCTGGGATTGAACTCAAGGCAACATTACAACTCTCTTGCAGTCATGTGCTCTCAGAGAAAGACTATCCTGATGAAGCCGACTCTGCATTACAAATATGCCCAAGTTAATCTTCAAGATACTAGTCAGTTCATTTTTGTCTTTTTCCACAACAGAGAACATTTAGCTACTGAGACTCTGCACCAGGTTCCCTCACCTATAGGCCTGGGCATCAGACGTCCCACCTTTCAGCTGGGAAAGGTTATTGGCCTTTCCGCCTACTCCAACAAATAACGGCTCTCTACGTTATGGTGTGCCGGTCATTGTACGTCTCCAACAGAGACACCTACAACCACAGTAGCTGACTTCTCCTTTTGTCTCTACTTATTCAAGACTACAGTTAGCATTACTCAACTACCGTTCTATTGTCAGGGCTATCCACTATTGTTGTCCCTGATGGCTCCACTGCCTTCAGGTATTTTCTCTTTATAGTTTATTCATCAAGCATTCCCCTTTGAGACAACTCCTTCATTGTTGGGGCTTCTCTTGTGTTCTTGAGCACTTTAAAGGTTTTCCCTGCGGGCCTTTCCTCAGGTCCTCATTATAACTCATGTAGGCGAGGCTGGCCTTTCTACTTCTAGTAACTCTTCATTACGAGGCACTGTATTACCGACAGTATCCATCATGGTGGATTTCATCAAATAGGGGATACCATGGCATCTATTTTATCCTAGCCTTAGACACCCACTCACAGTCTTATTTGAATTCATCCCACCAACAAGACTTCTTCAGATTGAGCATCATTCAGCATTCTAGTTCTCCTAATAGCAACCTTGTCGTCCTGTTCAGTTCTCATAATGGTATCTGACCAGGACCCAAAGCTGAGAGATACTATCCACTTCTTCCATCATTAATTACTCCGATCGAGCAACAATCAGGGACATTATGGCTAGTTGGGTTTCCTCACCAATGAGTTCACCTGTCCCAAATGGTAGACCTTCCCAAATAAACCCAGCCGCCCTGTCGCAGCTCATGACGTTAGAGTGGTATCTACCATACCAAAATCTTTTAGAGTGTCTTTCAGAAGACATCTACGGGGCAGCATGCTGGGAAGCACTTCCATCATTCACCTCATGCTGCCAGTACCTGAATAAAGTCTTGCGACGAATTTTTCATGGCGAAACAATACTAGCCTTTTCAAGGAGACCACTAGGACTATATTGGGCAAGCCACCTCCAGCTCTATCTAATGGCCTCCTGTTTTCTTCTGTGGGTCCTCATCATTCCACAGAGTTTTCTTCATTGTCAGTGCATCCTCCCCAACCCTCCAATCAATGTACAGTGCTACTCTGCATATAGAGTGAGTGTTTGGGTAGGATGAGTGCAATGGACTCCTCCCCCATGGTAGTGTGGGATGAGTCTGCTAGTGAATACCTACCCAAACAGTCCATGCTCTGCTATCCTCTCCACTCTGGCTCGGACCTTGCTCTCCAAAAAAGGACGAAGTGATGACAGCGCTGCAATGCATTGTGGTAATAGAGGGCACACTTCGGTTGATCATGGCAAAAAGCATATGGGGAAATTTGTGTATATAGTGACTGTTTGGGTAGGTTTTCACTAGCATACTCACCCCACACTACTCTGGGAGAGGAATTTCCATCAATAAGGGCTATGTGCAAACTTATACACCTCATGACGCTCTTTCAGTTGATGCTAGCTGAATGTCAGTTGCTTTGCTTTGCTTTGAGTTGTCTCTCTACATAGATAAAGTACACGGTAATCCAACCTTGTTGATATAAGCTTTGTAAAATAAGGGCATAAGCTTACAGTGATCATAAAAATTGTCCTAAATTCTGTTACATGACAGAATTTGCATGTTGAAAGTTCTGTTCAGACAGAAATTTGATTAATAGACATTTGGCCCAGTTGCATAAAGAAGGTTGTCAGTTAAAAAACCTTTGTCTGTTACAAATAGAACTTTAACCGCTTGCTACCGGGTGGATTTTTCTTGAGCAAGACAAGATACCGGCTCATTTTTAAGATTTTCCGTTTTCAAAATTCTTCCAAAATTTATCATTTCATTTAATGGCCGTTTATACCAAAATGAAGGACTCTTTGGGCACTACTCTAAAGCTGACAGGTAAAAATCATTGACTCTTGAATATTTCAGCCAGGCCTGCAGCCTTGGAAAAAGAGCCCTGATTGTGCGGTGTTACGTAAGACTCTTGAAAATAGTGCGCAATACCCGCTGCTTCATT